GAGAGCCGTGGTACACACCTTCTCTACATTCTCTGCTCAGAGATGCCATCCTCAGAGCAGCTGTCAATTGGGCAATTTCAAACATTTATGTGGATTAGTTCAGTCTGTACTATAAACATAGATGAAGAAACTGAGGGTCTCACTTTTGCCCCCTCCCCGGGCTGGGTCACCCTAAATGTGTGGCCAAGAACACAGCAAAATGATATGCATAAAACTACTACCAATAAATTAAATTAAGAAATCATTAATATTAATTAAGAATTAAGAAAGACCTCAGAAAAACAGGGAAAGAGAACCAGAAAAAAATAAAATGGCAGATGTAAGAATCAGTGTGACTGAAGGGCAGGCTCCTGACCCTTAACTGGACACAGGCACAACAGAGAGGGCAGTGAGCACGGGGAGGCTGGGCACTGGAGGGGGTGAGATGAAATAAGAGTCCTCAGGGTTCCCCAGAAAAGGGCAGGAGTGTGCACAAAGGCTCAGAGGACAGAGAAGCACCATTAGGGTTTTCTTTGTTAAGTTTGACCTGGCCAAGTGAAGCAATTTGAGAAGTCTCAAGGAGTCTCTTGATGTTTATCTGTTAACCACCAGCTGTAGGTTAGATGGGGAGATCCTGAACAGCTCCTGGGAGCTTGACACAGGGGAGGAGACAAGACTTCCTCCAGGCTGTAGCCTCATCAGGTGAAGCCACATTTGAGGAGGGTGTGGTTACTACCTCATCTCTGCTACATGATGGAGCCACTTTGAGACCACAACTGCTCAGCTCTGAGACCTTAGCAAGACTTTGACCCATAGTTTATATATCTGTAAAATGCAGCAAACTTCTGCCTCCTGGCTGAGGGCTGACAGTGGCACCAGTAGATCTTAGATGTAGGCTTCCCTAGTGTGTCTAGTTTGGCCCATATCCTTTGTTCCTTGTAAACCATGAACTGTGTCCTATCCTTCACCTTGAAGTACTTTCCCACACTTGAGCTATTTCATGGTTGTTGAGGGCTGGTGGCAAGCACACTGGGGCCTTGGCAGGTAGGAGTAAGAACACTTTGAACTTGCCAGCTTGCTTTGTGCCCTCAACTGACACCCAAATCCTTATATACGGCATATTCTTAGGCACCACGCTTGCCATTAATATATCACTTCCCCTGTGGAGGAAAGCTTTTTAACAGACTTTTGAGTTCAGACTCAAGCTCAAATCCTTGCTTTTCCCCTTAGTGCCTGTGTCACTTGCAGCAAGTCATTATTCTCTCGGAGCCCATTGCCCCATCTACAAGATGGGCACAACCCTCAGTGACCAGAAGATTTTGAAAATCACAAAAGCATCCTCATGTAAAGGGCCTGGAATCAGGCCTTCACACACTAATCAAGAAATACCTTAGATAATTCTAATTTAGTGAAATCACTTCTTCTCCAATCCTAGAAGTGTCTTTTCTGACCCAGAGCTGCTCCTGCTTTGCTGGCCTACGGCTCCCAGTCAGTGCCAGAGCCTTCAGAGCATTCCTGAAAATTTCTAAGGGCTCAAGAAAAGGAGAACAACAGATTTAATTAACTCCCAGTGACTGGCAGCATCAGTGTTTTCATCTGGGCTCCGTCACCATAGCAGCCTCATGGTTGGGTTGTTGAGGGGGCGGGTGGAGCTATTGTTCCTGCCATTGTCTGTTCTAGAACGCAGGCCCAGGAAAAAGGGACTGGCACGGGCACTAAGTGGCACATGGCTCGAGGCAGCCCTGGAGTCGGACAGAAGCCATCTGGGGATGAGAGGCAGCATGTCCTGGCTGATCCCCAGCTTGCTGGACCAATATGGGATGGCTTAGTTTTGAGTTTCCCAACTTGGGTCTCAGGCCCATCTAGGCCCTCAAAGCTGAGTCCATTTTCACGTTGGGCCTGCTGCCAGGAATAGGGGGTGAGGACTGGTTCCATAAAATTCCAGGAGGTCCCCAAAGTAGTTTAGACAATAACACTTTTCATTACCCCACCTAAGCTGGGCGATGGCTCTGGCTCTGCCATTTGCCATCTATGCAGCTCACTGCAAACTTACTTCCTAATATGCAAAAACAGGAGTAATTCTATTGAGCCCTAAGAATAATTTCTGTTTTGTGGGGGTGGTGAAGAGTCGCTATCCATTACTCCACAGAGTTCGAGGCTCTCCCCCTTTGCATACCACTTAGAAGGCTTCATTTCCCGTCTCCCTTGGGTGTAGAGAGGGGGAAGTGGAACTAGAGCTGCCAATCTGGAGCAGTTCAGGACCGGATGGGTTCAAAAGACAAGTTTATAAGCCCTACATACTTTCTCTCCCTTAGGCAGAGGGAAGGGAATCGGGGGGAAGGGTCCTGGATCTGGCGGGGAATCGGAATAGGATACACCTAGAGGAAAGGATGATAGGGACAGTAAGCAGACAAAGGAAAGATGTGTGGCACACAGTAGCAGCCAGAATCCTGCGGCCCCAAAGAATGTGGTGAAAGACCAGGCGGCCAGTGCATGATGAGGATGGTCCATGCTTTGGGCAGCCAAGAGTAGGATATAAAATTGAGAATGCCGGCAGCTGCGAGGTGTTAAGTAAACTCAGGACTGTAACTTAAAGAGTGCAGGTTGGGCTGCTTGTGGGCTCCCCTATGCAAGCCACCTTTTCCCCCCCTCTGACCTCCAGTTTTTAAGCTTGAGGGGCTGGATTACAAACCTCACCAAATTGTGTTATCCTGTACCGCACGGGTGGCGAACTCTCCCTTGCACGCTCAGGGCCGAGTCTGGTCTCGCGCGTCCTCTGCTGGCCAATCTAGCGTCCCCTCGGCGCCTATGCTCAGCGGCGGTGGCAGCCCTGTCTCCGATCGGGGGAAACCCTACTGGGGAAGCCGCTAAGAATGATGTCAGCCTCCAGGGTGACGTCACCGAGCCCCCGGGGAGTGCGGGGGTTCCCGCAAGGAGGCTTCCCCGGGACTGCGCAGGGCGCGTGTGCGGACAGGAAAGTCGTCGAGGGCTGCGGGGTGCCTTCACCGCGCCCTATGTCTGCCCGCAGGTCCCGCGCGGCCCTGGGTGAGACAGCCCACGCGTCCGCCGGCGCCATGGGAAGGAGCGGGCACCGCTGCTGCCCCCCGCCGGCGCGCGCACGACTTGAGCCCAGACACGGGCAGCCCCTGGCCGCGGGCCCCCAAGTGACACTGGCGGCACCTGGGAGCGTGGCGCGGGCCCGGGGCCACGCGGAGGAGCCCAGTGTCCAGTGAAGCAGCCGAGGACCCGCCGCCAGCGCCGCCGCCATGGTTATGTCCCAGGGCACCTACACGTTCCTCACGTGCTTCGCTGGCTTCTGGCTCATTTGGGGGCTCATCGTTCTGCTCTGCTGCTTCTGCAGCTTCCTGCGCCGCCGCCTTAAACGGCGCCAGGAGGAGCGACTGCGTGAGCAGAACCTGCGAGCCCTTGAGCTGGAGCCCCTCGAGCTCGAGGGCAGCCTGGCTGGGAGCCCCCCAGGCCTGGCGCCGCCACCACCACCGCACCGCGGCCGCTTGGAGGCACCGGCGCACACGCACCCGCATGTGCACGTGCACCCGCTCCTTCACCACGGGCCTGCGCAGCCGCACCCCCACGCGCACCCACACCACCACGCGCTTCCACACCCTCCACCGCCGCACCTTTCCGTGCCTCCGCGGCCCTGGAGCTACCCACGCCAAGGTAAGCACGACCTCCGCCAGGGGGCGCCCGGACACGCGGGCGGGCGGGCTCGCTACGTATGGGCGGGACTCCTTGGGTAGGAGAGAGGAGGACCAGGGCGGCTGCTACTTGGAGGTTTCCCTGGGTCTGAGATTAGCGAAGGCTGGGGATGGGTGGCCTTATTTCCGGACCGCTTCCCACTTCACAGCGGAATCGGACATGTCTAAGCCACCGTGCTACGAAGAAGCGGTGCTGATGGCCGAGCCGCCGCCGCCCTACAGTGAGGTGCTTACAGACACGCGCGGCCTCTATCGAAAGATCGTTACGCCCTTTTTGAGCCGCCGCGATAGCTCAGAAAAACAGGAGCAGCCTCCTCCCAGCTACAAGCCACTCTTCCTGGACCGGGGTTACACGTCGGCGCTGCACCTGCCCAGCGCCCCCAGGCCAGCGCCGCCCTGCCCCGCGCTCTGTTTGCAGGCGGACCGCAGCCGCCGAGTCTTCCCCAGCTGGACTGACTCGGAGCTCAGCAGCCGCGAGCCGCTGGAGCACGGAGCTTGGCGTCTGCCGGTCTCCATGCCCTTGTTTGGGAGGACTACAGCCGTATAGAGGGGCGCCCGGCGTCCCGGCCCCACTCGCGGACTCCAGGCCCAACTGCGGGGCTTTTTAAATGCTTCCCTTGGACTGGGGGGTGGGAGGGAAGGGTGGGATTTCTTACCCTGTTTGTTACATTTTGAGGATAATAAAGGTGTGTGATCTGCTTTGGTACAAGCGAGGACGGCTGTTTGCACCCAAGGTTCAGCCAGAGGGCTGGTTACCAGGAGCACAGAGTCATGGGGACTGGGACATTAACGAGCCTGGTCTGGCTACAAGCTAGCCCGAGGGTACAAAAGGCTAAACCTGAGCTCAGCTTTCTGCTAGACACACAGACACCCGCTATGAGATCTTGATAAATAGTCTGCCCTTCACTCTGCAGCTTTGAAGGTGAAAAGACTTGGGGTGAGGGGGGGAGACCCAGATCAACTCCTGGAGGGCCGGAGCAGCAGGCCCGAAGGGATCTGGATTTCTTTATTAACAGACATGAGCACGACCCGTTACAGAAGTTTGTGCTTTCCAAAAAACAGTTACTGAAAGTGAAAAAGGAACCCAAGCAAAGAGGGAGGACTCAGGTAGGGGCCACCCAAGCCCCACTCCCCACCCTCCAACAGCCTTGACCTGAATGGATGCAAGGGCCTCCAGCTTGGGACCTGCCCAGCAGGAGGGGGCAGGAGAGGGCAGGGAAGCTGAGGGGCCCCAGCTGGGCCTGCTACTTCCTTTGGGCCAGGCAGGGAGGGGTCAAGAGAAGGGCAGGGAGGGGGTCCCAGGGAGCCAGAGCCCACGAGCCATTTATTGCCATGTTTTAAAATTCGTGCAAAATATCTGAAGCCCTGGACAGAGAATACAAAGTGATATTTTTCCAAGAAACATAAAACTAGGAAAAGAGGTGAGGGAGGGGTTATCTTCCCATCAGAGCTCCCCCACACCAGGTCCCAAGCGGTCAGGTCTCCACCCGGCCAGCTGAGCGGGAAAAGCTAAGAGCTACAATCTGGACCCGGCAGGGAGAGGGTGGAATCTGCAACAGCGTCTCAACTACCAACGGGAGGAAAATCAGTCAACTGTACAAGTCTCCTATCCACTTTAAAAAAAAGAGAAAAGCTGTCAAAAGTTGGGCCCTGTGGGTGGGGAAGCGACCAAGTCCGGGCCAGGGCCGGAATCCAGAGTGGGTGCCAGGCGGAGCGGCTGCAAGTGCAGGCACGATGGGCCGCCTGGACAGAGGCCTGGAAGTGGGCGGCCTTGGTGAAGGCAGCCTTAGGGCGATGCACCACTAATCTCCACCCTCGAAGCCCTCCTCCTCTTCAGGCACTGGGTCTGCATCCCAGCAGGTGATGTCGATTTCTAGGGCATTGAGAGGGAGAAGTGGCTTTAAGATGGCTTAGCAGATCCATGACTGTGTCCCTTGACCCCCCAAAACAGTGCTGAACCACCTGGCGTGTCTGTGGAATTCAGGTCTATTCGAGAAACTCAAACCCCAGTGGCCCTCTCCTCCCGTTTCCTCGGTCCCAAAATTACCGGGAGGCTTGTTGTAGAACACAGGAGGCGGAGCCTTTGCACACAGCTCTTCTGATTGGGCAAACTCCTCTTCCTGTGATTGGCTGAAGTACCCTTCACTGGCCTGCAGGAGGAAAGTACCAGGTCGCTGGGCCCCACCCTACAGGACTAATACTGACCTACCAGTCCTGAGCTCGTTTCCCCAGCAACCAACGATTCCATCAGTGGTTGCCTAGGAAACACAGATGTCTGCCTTGGGAACAAAAGCTGAGATGGCTAGGGAGGGGGAGTGGAATGGAGCTTCACCCCAATAATGTGGGTCACAGACAAGGGAAGTACTGCTGCAGACTTGAAGAATCCATCAATGCACCCCCCTCCCCAGGCTGCATCTACCCCCACCTGAGTCCCCTCCTTCTGGGTGGTCTCGCCATTGGTCAACACGTGGGGTTCTGGCTCCGGCTCCTGATCTAGCTCCTCTAAAGCAGAAGGCAGGGCTGGGGCCTGGGGAACAGCCAGGGGCTCTCCTACTTCCTCCTCTGGATCGCAGAAGGTAGCAGGTGGCTCTGGCAGCTCATCAAAATTGAGAAGGTTGGCACAGCCTTCGCCCACTGGTGGCAGGGGCTCCTGAGCCTCCTGGTTCAGCAGGGCCACCTCTGCCAAAGTGACCTCAGCACCTGAGGGTGGTGTGGGCTTGGCTTGTGTCTCCCAGGCCTGGGACACAGAGGCCTCTTCCCCATTGCCAGGCCATAGGTCAATGAGGCTGGCAGCAGCGGGGGCGGTGGTGTTGGCAACAGTGGTGTCAACGTCGGCAGTGTTGGTTTCAATGGTGTCAGCTGCGTCAGCTACAGAGGTGTCAGCTGCAGTGGTGTCAGCTGGGGCAGGTTCCAGAGGCACAGCTAGGACAGCCTGATCTGGAGACTCTATGAACATTAAGTCCTCCATGGGGCTGCCTTGCACCGGGGGAGGCTCCTTTGCCAGAAGGGGCTCCTCTTGAGGGGCTGCTGCTTGGACCTCCTTCCTGGTCTCTTTCCTCTCCAGGTGAGGGCTGGGCTCCTGGGTCTCTGAGAGAGCAGAGCAAGAGAGCTATAATCTGCTCCCTTGTGGAAGGGATAAAGACCTTTACTGTACCCAGCTCTCCCATGAAGAGTAAGTTCAGGAACTTCCCTCTCCATCCACAGTCAAGCCAGAGGCAAGCACACTGCACCAGTCCTGCAGTTCAGAAGGGGCTCTTCCCTGCCCACAGCAACCTCCAGGGCCGTGCAGGCTTGGTGCTAGGTGGTCCAGATCCCAGGGGAGCTGCTACTATGACAACCTAGGTTTTCAGCTGAGACTGATAGGAGGCCCCAGGCAGGTAAGATCCATTACTCACCTTGGGCTGGTGGTAGCGGTGGTGGCAGCGGTGGAGGCTGTGAGGATGTGACCTCATCCAGGGAACGCTCAATCTGCTCAGCGATGGGGGTTGAGGCTGTACTGGAGTCAGATGGGCTCCGGGTGGGGATGGGGGTTGGAGCCATCCTCCGGTGGCTGTCCAGGTGGCTGCCTGTAGAACAAATCCCGAGTTGGTCAGTGAGGGCTGGGGAGCTAGGTGGGACCAGGATTGTTCACCTTGGGGCCTGGCCAGCACCTCCTCTCTGGAGTCTGGGTGAAGAGTGTGAGCTCCCCAGACCCCCCAGGGGCCAGACCACAGCTCCGGACCTTGTAGGCCCCTGGGGGCCAGCACCCCTGCAGGGCCAAGGGAAAGAGGCAGGCAGTACCTGCTCTAGGAACAAATTCCAGAGATCAGCAGTCAGGCTGGGGCGGGGGAGTGAGGGCATGGGAGGCTGCTGGGAAGCGGGGCCCTCCTTACCCCCCCGCTGAGGCCTGGGGCTGCTACCTACATGGGAGGGAGGAAGAGAGGTTTGGGGTGCGGTGACAGGTGATATAGGGAAAGGGAGTCCGTGGAGGGGAGGAGGAGGAAGAGGAGGAGGAGGAAGGCCCACTGTCCGATGCCTTTATGAAAGGGCAGTACGGACGACCTGCCAAGAGAGACAGACAGAGAAAGAGACAGAGGACAAGAGAGGGTCAGTCTCCCCCACCCTATGCAGAGGCCTCACCCGCCCCCAGTGTTGTCCCTGGATGTCCAAGCTGCTCACATCCAGGGCACACATTCAGCCAAGCTGAAACAGCCTCAAGCGTCAGCACCAGCCACACAGTCAGCCTCTGCGAGCAGAGCAGCTCGTGACCACTCCCCCGAGACACCAGCAGAGGGCTCACACACAGCAGCAGGTGCCGACATACTGGGACCAACGGACAGGGAGGGAAAGATGCTAGAGCAGGAGAGGGAAGCTGTATAGGGAGAAACTGAGCAGGAAGCCCCAGCACAGGCACAGGCTGCTCTGACTTAGGGTCAGGGCCAGCATCCACCCTACATGCACCCACCAGCCCTCCAGGCCAAACCTCCAACTCCAGCAGGGCTACTCCCTGCTGCCTTCTATCTGGTTAGTGGGTGCCTCAGCCCACATCAAAGCTGCCCACCTGGCACCACCCACTGAACAGCCAAGGCCCAACCACGATTTGCCCCGAGCCTGTCTCGGGGTCCTGCCACCTGGGAAGTGGTGGATGGAAGTATATTTGATGGGCCTCCGAGGCCGTCTCCAAGGTGTCCCTGGGCAAGCTTCCCTTCAAGGAACAGTCAGTCCTAAACCTGAGGCGTGGGGGCAGGGGCAGGGGCTGGGACTACCTGGCCTGTGGTTGAAGGGTGAGGGCACATCGCAGCTGCCTGCAGAGGCCGATGCGACTCGTTCCTGCTGCTTGAAGAACTCTCGAGGGTTGTCAGGTCGCTGGGCAATGATGGCTGCTGCCTCCTAGGAGTGCAAGGCCAGGGTCAGGACTGTAGCCCAGATGGGGTGAGGCAGCACTGCTGGCTTCACCTGCCATCCTCTCAGCTCTTACCTCCACCTCCGATTCTGACTTCTTCATCTGGGTCTCTTCTTCCTCATCCCGCTGGTCACCCTGGAAACCAAACAGTGTCCTGGGAACCCCTCTACACAGGGAGGGGCTTTTTTAATTTTTATTTTATTATGTGTGTGTGTGTACTGTCAAATCAGATCTGACTGGTACAGGAGATTGCCCCTCTTTTTCCGGTGGATTCAAACTGTGTACCTTCAGGATTGCAGTGCAGCTTCTTGCCACTAGGGCACCAGAACTCCCTTACACACAGACCTTTTTATGATTCCTGCATTCTTTCCATGGTAGAAGGTGGTGGCACCAGAGGTGGCACCTCTGGTTCACACGTCACCCAGTTCCACACCCCCTCTCAGCTCTTACTTGCTGGGCCCTAGAGACCCAGCTTGTTTCCTCACTCATTCCATAACTATCTCGCCTCCCAGGGCTACCCAGGAACTCTCCTTGTGACTGCCTTTTCTCAGACCACCCCCAACACCAACACCTGCCCACCATACTCCATTGGCCCCACCTGGACCTGGGCAACCAGCAGAGGCTCTGCTGCCCGTTCTCTCCATCTAGTTCGTGCTCTATAGGCCCAGAAGGACCTTTCAAAGCAGATCAGACCAGGATTTTTCCAGGCTCAAAATCTCCTCAGAGCTTTTCATGAGCCACAGCAAGCAACGCTGAAAATGATCACAGTGACATTTATTTAGCCAGTGTGCTGACTTTTTAAAAACAATTAGTTGCCACCACTTCAAAATGAGGAAGTTTCATACTGAAATCTGGATCTGGACCCATCTTGAAATGATGAGATGAAATGTGGCAGCAGTGGCCCCAAAAATGCCAAAAGCAGCCACTGGCCAGAGTGTGCTGTCCAGTTTGTCCCTCCCTGCTATACTGCCCCTGCCTAGTCATTCATTGTATTCAGAAAGTGCAATCCTCCAGGATCAGGGTCCCTTGCTGATTTGACTCTATTCCTTCTCTAAACCCCATCCCTTACTGGCCTGCCTACCCTTTCCATGAAGTGAAGATAAAAATACTCATTCACAAAGCAGTCAGTTCCTGAAGCATGCACAGTTTCCCTGCCAAGCCCAGGCATGGGAGAGGAGTCCTTCCCACTGATGCAGACCCCACCACCAGGTCCAAGTCCTCCTGCTTCTAGTTTCAGCTTGGGTGCTGCTTCCCCAGGGGAAAGGACCCCGGCACAGTCAAACCATTCTCTTCTTTAGGTCCCCAAAGGGTGTTCCTGGTGTACACCACAAATAACACTATATTGTAATTTCCTTTTTCTGGGTTAGTCTTCCTAACACCCCAGGAATGACAAAGGACAGACTTGAGCTTGTGTGTGAGTGGCTAGCACAAGAATCAAGTTGGTTCGTGTTTGCTCTACTGAACTCCCTACACCAAAAGCCTCTTCATTGGTGCCCTCTGCTCACAAGATAAACTGGGCAGAAAAGACTGGTCAGAGAGAAAAGCTCTAAGTGATGTGGTAAAGGAGCAGATCACCTTTGCTTTTGAACATAGAACCTAGAAGCTGAACACTGGTCAAGGTGCACAGAGGGAATGGCCTTTCAAAGTGGTGTCCCTCGAGAGTGTTGTGACACCAATGGAGACTCTGCATTCTCCTGGATGGTCTAAATGCCTCCCCTAACCCTGCTGTCCCCTCCTGACTTCCCTGCTCCTCAGTCCACCTTTGCTTATGCTCTTCCTTCTCCCTGGTGTAATCTTGTTGGTTTCCTCCACCTAGTTAAAAAAGAAGAGTTTAACTACCAATAGCATGAATAACTGAAATAACAAATTAAGAGCTACACACAGGAGAGAGATCATTATGTTAATCCTGAGGGCCTTATTACCATCAGATACATGAAAGCTTCCTGGTAGCCCATGGAAAAAAAAAGAGACTCATGATAATAAAATATAAATCTTATAAGGGAAGGAAAAGCAGAACAGCTCTATAAACCAAGAGGAAGCATTTCATGATGATAAATTCCAAAGCTTTTCATCTGAGGCAATCCTTGGGAAGCCTAAAATTATAGCGCAACCATGTTAATTCCACAGCACATCCACTGTCACCATGACATAAGCTACGCATGACGTTTTGGCTGAGAATATAATATAATGATGTGAACTTCTTGATGCTTTGCTAGAAATGCTGAGAAGTGATGAAAATAAATGGTCAGTTCACGGAACTCACCATTTTATTCTTTTGACACGTGTGTGTGAGTATATGTGTGAGAGGGTGTGTATGTTTGACAATTTCAACCACATTTTCTGTAGAAAGAAACTTTTTTCAAAGAGTCCTTGTCCATCTTGTTCTGATTTAGCCCCCAGTACATGGCAGGTGGCAAGTGTGTGTGAATGAATGAAGCTAAGGGCAGACCAACCTTACATCTGCTCCACCCCACCCAGCAGTTGATGTGATAAGGGCCACAGACAGAGCACTTAATGAGCCAGTGCCTGCAGAGCTGCCTTCTTCTGAGTGTCATCCATCAGGTCACCTGAGCCCCCAGGACCCAACAGCTGTTGATCATAATCACAATCCGGGGCTCCCTTCCTGAATAGCACTACTTAAGGCCTTGAATGGCTTTAGCTATTTCTGAAATGCAAAGGTCAGTAACAGCACAAAACTGTGATGCCAGAAATACCAATCCTCAAGTGCTCTGGGGCAATGTTCGGTGATACAGCAGCACCCCTGGAACAAGGAAGCACACTTGCACAGAGACACTGAAAGCACAGGCCCAGTGCATTCATCCACATAGCCCTGAACCACCCTGTGTGTGGGCAGGCCTGGATGGAGCTCCCTCCAGGCAGGAGCTGGGGTGCCTGGCCAAGGAGTACCTGGGTCACAAGGACATCTTCTCTTCCAATATAGACTATAAGTTCACCGAGGATGTCTCTATCCATAGCCAGTGCCCTGCACAACCAGGTGCTAGACCTGACTCTCCAACGTACCTGCCCCCCAGGTCCATGCAGAGGTCCTCACAGCACCTAGCACTGTCCCTAAGCCCCAGTCTCCCCAACAGGCCCCGACACAAGGAGCAGCGTTACTGCTTGGCCAGAAGACTGGAAGCCCTGGCTCAGAACTTACAAAGATTGACTGCTCCTTCAACCGCTTCTTGGCCTCTTCTGCTTCCAGAGTCTGCTGTTTCCTCCTAGAATGAGAAGCCAGCAGGTTGCTCAGGGCAGGCTCCCGAGGCCCCGGCAGGCCTGGCTGCTATGATGGGGGTGCCGCACCTGTGCTCCTCAATCTGCTGCTCTCGCTCGCGGTAACGCCGCTCCCGCTCCTCCTGCTCCTGCCGCTCCTGCTCCATCCGCTCCTGCTCAAACCTGAGCCTCTCGTCCAGGGCCTTCTTCCTCTCCTCCTCCTTCCTCAGCTCCTCCTCCTTCTGCAATCCCCATGCCAAGGAAGTGCAGGCCCTGAGCTGGGGGCCCTGGGAGCCTGGTGCCCCAATCCCATCCCAAACCCTGGGCTAGGGGAGACACTGGTTCTGAGAATTCTAGGGATGAGCCCTAGAGACACAAGGCCAAAAGGGCTCTCTCTCTGAGATGAGGGGAAGGGTGGGAGGCATGTAGTCTGGGGCACACTGCTAGGACAAGAGACCAAGTGACAGGTCATCTGGGTGAGATGCCCGAGCTGGGGTCCATACCTTGGCCTGCTCCCAGAACTGCTCTCGGTTAAGCCGCTTCATTTCCACAGCTGCATCTGTCTTCTGATAGGTGGTCCCCTGTAGGGTCAAGTTACAGGGCATAAACATGGAGAGCACACTGGGGGCCCTGAGGACTCCCAAGAACAGCAGGGCATGATGAAGGAGGAGGCCAAGGCCACCTCGGCCTGCACTGACCACAGGCTCCGCGTTTTCATCCTCACGCAGGCGCAGGCGGTGCAGCACTGGGCTGGAGAGCCGTGCCAGCCCGTTGGACAGTCGCTGCCCAATGGCACCTGCATCTATGTCTTCCACACTGCTGGCATTCACGATCACATCGACACCCTTTGGCAAGAAGACAATGTTCGGACGCTATGTGGCACCTGCCACCACCCCTAGCATGTGCACATCCTGCCCTGGGGGGCTGCCCCCCCCATACCTGGAAGAACTCAGCCACCTTAGCCACATGACTGGCACATGCACACTTGCGGGCATCAGGCACATCTTCACCGACCTGCAAGATACCCGTCAACGAGGGTATTACGGGCAGGAGTAGCAGGGGAAGCTTCTAGGGGATCCCCGCCCCAGAGCCAGTGGGATTCTCCCAGTGTCAGTGGGTTGAGGGAGAATTGGAAGGTGGCTCTTCTGAGGTATTCTGTGCCCTTCCCCAGCCCGTATCTGCATACCCAATTGATGAGCACGTATTTTGGCAGAGCAGCCTGAGAGTCCTTGACGCTGCAGAAGCCGTACATCACCTTCTGGTTCTCGAAGTGGCCTGAGAGCTCCTGCAAGCCCCCTTCTGGGGGAGTGGGGAGGATGTCAAGACTTTCATTTCCTTAACCCGTACCCCTTACCCCGTACATACACAAGGGCCTGGACCCCCAAGGAGAATATTCTCTTGGCTCTGAAGGATGACTCCCGGGATCTTCTGTCTTCCGAGACATGGTGGCCTCACTGTTTTGTGCTTGTGTAAGAGGGTGGTAGGCACAATCTGGCTTTGTCTTTGAACTTACTAGAGTCTGGCTCCAACTGGGGTAAAACCAAGAAGTGTTTGGAGCAACCCTCTTCACACGTCATCCCCCCTCTCACATCATGTCTCAGAGGTGCTGGTGACCAATCTCAACAGTGAAGTAAAGCCTTCAGGCTCGAGATAACATGGAGCTGTTCTGGGTCCATCCCCTCAAGGTCCCTTCCTTCTATCTGTGTGACTCTGGGAAAATAACTTTCCCTTTCTGAAAGCATTTCCTCAGTCAGTCATCTGGGAAAACAAGGCTCCTCCTGTCCCCACCCTCTCAGAAGTAAAGGGATGACCAAAAGAAGGACACTAGCCAGATAAGTGTGAGGCTGTCAGATGCAGGCAGGAAGGTGGCCCAAAGCCAGGCGGGTGGGGAAGAAAACAACCGGAGGAGGGGGCGGAGAGGAAGGCGAAGGAATGGCTGGAATTCTTACCTCCTGACGCTGCAAGCTTGAGGTCATCTGAGCCATCCTCATATGTGTACAGAGCCCTGGGGAGAGGGAGGGGAAGCTGGAAGAACTTTCTGGGCCCAGGCAGCCAATTTTGGGTGGAGATGACTCTGGAGAAGGGGTCGGGGAGGAAAATGGAGAGGCCAGGACAGAAGGGAGTTCTTGACTAGCTGGTAGTGTCATGATGACAACAGGGCTGAACACACCATTTCTGGCTGGAGCCCAGCAGTGGTAGACTGATAGTCCCATGGAGAGAGTCTTGGGTCAGGTGGGGAGGGGGTAGGAGCAGAAATCACTGCCTCAGCCGGCTCAGGCTCAAGAGCCTCCGATCGAAAAGCGCCCCAGCCCTGGCCCAGGCTGCCTTCCACAGAGCTGAGTGAGTGCGATGGAGCTTCCAAGGCGACGGTTCCTTGGTTACCTTGGTTACTGTTCCCTGGCTACCATTCTCCTCAGCCCCCATTGGCCAGAAGCAGGAGCCTACCTGGTGCGTGCCTTGGTACCCACCACCCCTCCCCCAAATGACGGGGAAAAAGAGGAGAGAGAACCTGGTGCTCTAACAGCTCTGGGCATCCCCCAGTAACCATGGCAACCTGGCAACTGGCACGGGAGAGGCCCACCCAAGCGCATTTGCCTTTAACACAAAGGACCCTGGGGACCAGCCCTCAGCCTCAATCTCCTTCTCTCAGAAATGGGGATGAGATCATTGTTACCCAGACTCTGGTCTTGGGGTAGCTGTGCTCTCCTGGCTTTCCAACCTCAAAGCTACCTCCATCCTAGCCCAGGCCCTGGCCTCCTGGGATTGCTGGCCTTTCCGCCCTAGCATTGCCAGAAAGCTGACCCAGCATTCACATTCCACCCTCCTCCCCTCAGCCTTGTCTGCCCTGGCTTGTGCTCCCCAGGTGGCCAGGACAAAGCATCCATTTCACAGGAGGGAATGTAGAGGTGCCTCCCATCTGCTCACAGTGGGAGGAGAGGCCTGGGGAGAGGAAGAAGGAAGGGCCTCATCCTTGTAGTTCAGAAGGGCTCAGACCCTTCCTCACATTCTCACTTCCCTACTGCTGAGGCAGGAGGTAGGGGTGAGGAGGAGAGTGAGCCAGGAGCTTCAGGGAAATGGAGAAGAGGAGGGGAGACAAGGAGGGGAAGGAGTGAGGCAGCAGGAGACAGAGGCAGTATAGGGAAGACTAGAGAAAGACAACAAGGAAATGAAGAGGGAGAAGTGGGAAGGCCTAGACTCATGAGGTCAGAACAAGCTGTTGCCAGGGTCAAATGGCCCCCAAGCCCGTCCCCTTCCTGGGGCCCCTCTCTCTTGACAGAGACACAGGTGGGCTGTGGGGCCCAGCTCCTGGCCCAACTGTTGCCCCTGCTGAGCCCTGGCAGCTGCTCCCAGCACAGCTGTCCCACCACCTGTCTTCTGCCCTGACCCAACACTGGGAACAAAGGGCCCTCAGAGGAATAGGGTCGGCCCCTCTCCATCCACTGATGAGAAACTGAGGAAGAATCCAAGGATCCTGGCTCCCCAGCACTGCTCTCAATATCACACCTCTCTGGGAGCTGGTGTCCACACCTCCCCAAGGTTTCCTGAGGGTCCTGGCTTTGCCCAGGAAGGTCAGCCTTTTCCCGGGCTTGTCCATCCATCCTCAGCCCCTGTCTACCTGCCTAGTCACTTTCCTCATTCACATACCATTTCCTGCTACTTCCACATTGGACTCCTGTAAATACTACACACTTGGGACACAATGAATGGCTTCCGGATATCTTCCACCTCTCAGCATTTGCACATGAGGTGATTTTCCTATAGAAAGCCAGATGATTATTCTCACCCCTCCTGTGGAAACTCTTTGGGACCTAAAGGCAAGAAGATACACCCCATCAAGGATTTAGAGGCATCTGTATCAGCCCCTGACCCCACAATCACATCAGACACATCTGGGGACAGAGGAAACTGGCTAATCCCTGCAGGGAATCGACATGTCTCACCAGCTCTGGGCCCTGGTACACTGCCCTGATGTCAAGCTTCATGGGGGCTGCTCTGGGACCCAGGGCCCAGCATGGAGTAGCACCTGTAGGTATTTGTGATACTGACACAAACTCTTAGAAACCATCTAGCCCAGAGAATCTGGTGTAAGTTGGTATGGGCTGCTCCAGGGCAGTACCTAGGTCAGCTGGAGCTGGCCGGCTGAGGCCAGTCACATACGCTGAATGCTTGAGCTGGAAAGACCCTAGGTTTCCTAGCTGTGGTCAAGCCCAATCCCTTCCTTCACTTTCACAGAGGAACAAAAGATGTAAGCAGGACAGGGACTTTTATATGATCAAAGTCAGGACAACAATGGCCTTTCCCACCACACAACCTGATCTCTCTGGCCCCTGCTCCTAAGCCAGGGCTTAGAGGTCCATTTCAATAGCCATACTATACACATACTCAGAAGCCAGATGAGGGAGGACAGTGTCAACCCACTTTGCCCAGGCACAATTTTACCCAAAGACATCTCTATCCTGGCCTCTGTGTGCAGTTCCCAATGAGCCTTTAGATTCCCCTGTACTGGCTTTATGGGTGAGGCACTCCCACCCTGTTTAGCCCCTACAAGCTACAACCCTCATACTCTCCCCCCTCCTTTTTCTTTTTTTCTGCAAAATGTCAGCAAGGCCCTTAGGAGTGAACAAATGTGTGTATGTGCGAGGGAGCATGTGTGCATCTGTGTGTGTGTGTGTCCCACACACAACCCAGATGGGGGGTGACGCACACCAGTGATGAATAACTCACTGTGACCACATGGGTGCTGTTGGGTGGGGGGAACCAGGCCACTGTTGAGCAGGATAAGGGGCAGCAGGGGTTGTATAGCACCCCCAGCACCTGGCTGCTGGAGCTCTGCTCATGGAGGACTAGGGGTGGGTAAGTGGTAGTAGACAATGTTTCCCAGATCAGAGGGTGTGAGGGGTATTCTGGGGTGTGCCTCTTCTCTGGCAAGATTACTAGGCAGCGCCCAGATCCTAAAGCCAGCTTTCCCATCAAGTCAAGCAGGCCCCTTGCCCTGAACTCCCATTACCTCAGCCCCCCTGGGGGCAGGGCTGGGACAATGGTTGGGCCAACCCCCTGCTGAGCCTGTGCTGGCCTCTCCTGTGGCTGACCTGCAGGACATGAGAGCCTGTCGCCCTCGTCCATCCCTCCGGGCCTGGCCGATCGCCAGTGCTGCAGTGCCGTGGCATGGCTGCCTGGCCATCTCATCCCTTTCTCCAGGCCCCCAGGCCAGCAGCCCTTAGAGGCTATCCTCCCAGTGGGAGGGTGAGGCAAGCGCAAGTGGAACCCCTCTGGTCTGCCCTCACTCTGTGCCTCAGTTTCTTTGGAGAGAGTCTGTTTCCTGTCTGACAGCAAGAAGAGAGGGAGGGAATAGGCCAGCACCTGCCCCAGGAAAAGTATTCTGGGGTGCTGTTTCCTGGGTGAGGAGTGTGGAATCCCGTAGGTGTTCAGCCACTCTGTGGTCTCCTTGCCCCAGTGCAAGTGGTCCATCCCCTCCCCCAGTTCGGACCCGCAACAGCTGGAGGAGGGAGAGAGCAGCAGCCCTGCCCCGCCCCCACTAGGGATCGGAGTATACCAGACCACTGGGGAAAGGAGCTAACGGGACCATCAAATGGGGTTCAGTGAATATGAGCACCTCTGTACTTTTACACTTGAAGGCTTCCTCCCAGGGACAAGGGTTGGCCCTTTGAAGGCGATCCTGTCCCTCAGGATCTCCCCAACCTAGCGGCCCAGTCCCCGCAATTCTCTCCAGGTCGGCAAGACAAGGGCTCACCCTGGCCTCCTTCACGACCCGTGAGGGGAAAAGGAGACACTTCGAGCTCGCCATGTGGCCAAGAACGTCCTTCCATCACCTCCCAGGCCGGGCGAGGCCGGGGGCACAATGCTGAGAGGCCCCCGGTGGGCGGGGCGCCCGGCCCCCAGCCCGCTCCACTCCTCCCCCGCCCAAGCTTTCCTTTGTGCTGCGGCCGGACGAGCTGGACCGGGCCGGCGGCGCCGACTCCGCTACCTCGGTCCCCGCCCTGTCCCCGCCCGGTCCTCGCCCTCAGGAAGGTGGAGAAGGTGCCCTTGGCTGCCCCGTGCACACCTGTCCCCCGGGTCCGGGGGGAGGGTAGGGGACGGGGGATGGGTTCCCGCAGGGCCATGCGGTCCCGGGCCACACATCTGGACCCTGCACGCATCTGGCCTGCACCCGGTCACCGCTCCCATCGTCTGCCCGGGGCCACTCGGGGCGCGCGGGGCCCGGCAGCGCCCCGCCTGGCCCGCCAGCCCCTCCCCCCGGCGCGCACAAAGGCAGCCCCTCCCAGGTCCTCCGGGTCCGAGGTGCCATTTCGGGGTCTCCCCCTCCCTTCCCGGCAGCCGGCAGCGGGCCGGCTGGGAACAAAGGCGCGGCGGCGGCGGCGGCGGCGCGGGGACAAAGGGGCTGGGGGCGGGGGCGGGGGGCTCACCAGTCGGCCGCGCTCTCCTCCCGGATCACCTCCTCGTATGCCGCCAGCAGCTCCAGGCGGTGGCCGCTGAAGCTGACGCCGGCCATGCTGCGGGCCGGACCGAGGCCGTACGGACAGACGCACAGACGGATAGACGGACAGAGAGGAGGGAGGGGAAGAGGGAGTCGCCGCCGCCGCCTCAGAGCCTCTGCAGCGCTGCGAGCTGAGCGAGCCAGCGGCCGGGGGAGGGGAGCCGGCCGCGGGGGGCGGGGGGCGCTGGCTCCGCCCGGCTCGCTCCCTCCGCTGCTCGGTCCTAGCGCCGCCCCGGCCCGCCCAGGGGGAGGTCCGCCCCCCCTTCCCGGCCTGCCCCGGGCGACCCCGCGCCCAGCACATCCCGCGGGCACGGGTGCCACCACCTCTGACCCACCCACCCACGCGGAGACCCGGGAGTGCAATCTGCCATTCGGGTTCCCAGTCCGTCCTGGTTCAGAACCCTCCCATACCCATCCCTTCTCCAACCTGGGTGCTCACCCGGTTCTTCAAACCCAAACCTTGCAGCCTCAGCATCTAACCAAGATTCCACTCTCCCTTTCTTTACCTAACTCCCAGTCCCAATTCCAAATCCACTTCATTGCAGTTGGATTCCTAGGTCCTCCTCACTCTTGTGAGGATCTCTACCCCAACCTCATGCTTATCCCTGGTCCATCTCAGCTTATTTAAAACCATTTCCCCTTGCAAACCTCAACCTCTAACTAGTTCAACCCTGGCCTGTCTCCAGCCTGTCCAACCTCACTGAAAGATTCATCCCTAGTCCTTCTGCAACACTACCCACTGCCATTTGCAACTCAACTCTTATCTGTCCTATCCCAGCTCCAGACCTTGTTTAGCATAGCATGCTCTCACTTCTCCATTTATTAGACTCCACACCTAGTTGCACCCTCAGTGCAGGCTATGATAGTCCCATACTGAACCCACTTCCCCCTCGCACCTTTCCATTCCTGCCTATGTGACCATATTTATGCTCTCCAGTAGTCCCAACTCCAATGTTAGCTCATCACTCCCACCATCCCTACCCTCTTTCCCCCTTCACTCTGTCCAGAGCTCTCTCTTTCTTACAGGGTGTCTACTGTTCTGCTTCACTGGTTTAGGAAATCCTTTGCTTTCTCTCTCAAGCCTCATGTCTCCCAAAGGATTCCAAAAGCAGCATCTAACCCCAGACTCCCAGAGCAGGGCTCCTCCAAGGATTCTCAAGGGCCAGCCTCTTAACACATTAATTTCCCAATGCTCTGAGCACAGAAGAAGCTGAGGCCTCAGAGAAGACCCTTGTTGGGGAGAGGCCACCACTGCCAGGACCTCCTATACATACTTGCTTTGTGCTAGGACACCTCGACAACTCTCAGAATCCTTCTCCCCCACCTGCAAAGTCTCCCAACCCAAATGTTCTAGGAGAGATTGACAGACCTGAACAAACCTGACCTCCCAGAGCTGAGAGGGGAGCAAGGTCATGGGACTGGTCCAGTCCAGGAGGTCAGGGAGAAGGTGGTGCCAGCTGGGCCTGAAAGTTGGGTAATAGGCCTGTCACTGCCGCTGGGAACAATGTGTGCTGTTATCACCAGCAGAGGTTCCCAGTGTTTGGGAATGGGAGAAAATCTTTGAGAATGGAGAAACTCTTTTAAATCTGAAAATATTTTATAGATCCTAATGTAGAGAACACTTGATGTCCACTGTGTTCATGGAACTCTGTCCCCCACAGTTTCTCTATAGCCCCTTCTTGGAGTGATACCCAGGTAAAATCACACTCAAGCCTTGTGTCCTAGACCAGTTGGCCCATAGGAAGTCAGGTGCAATGTGGATCACTGAGGCAGCCTAGTAGACGATGTAGGGTTAGGGAGGGAAGGAGCCAGGAGAGGTGTGAGCTTTGACTTTCTCCCATCTTGGTGTGAACATTTTAGAGAAGGAGATATAAGTCCAACTTTAGCCTTAGAGGATTGGGCAGAGCCACCTCCAACCTCGAGCCCTTCAAAATTCCTTGGACTTGTCCTAGCTCAGAGCTCTTCCCAGCCCCCCCCTTTTGGCCCCTCCCCAGCCTCCTGCTCACTCCACTTCACATCCAAAAAATCGAAGCAAGCTCAACCTGCACATTTTTCCTTCCTCAAATTCCCACACCTGCAAACTTTCTCCCACCACACATACTCTCACCTCTTGTCATCTATTTTTCAAAATAAACCTTTTATTTTAGGATGCTTTTAAATTCACAGAAAAATGGCAAAGATAGTACAGCGTGTTGCCACATACACCCAGTTTCCCCCATTATTAACTTGCCATTTGTTTTCTGGAGAACAAGGAAGTTCCCTGCTCCTGTGCCCTTGAGTCCACTCTAGGTCTCCCATCCTTCCTTGCACATGACCTTCCTCCTATTATTCATCCACTGTACTCTTTTTCCTGCCCCCTTTTCCCCTGGTACTGCTCTGGCTGAGGTCATTAATAGCTAAACAACAGAGTAAACCCACCCAGTTTTTATTGAGAGGACTCTGCCTCACAGCAACCCCATGTGTGTCCAAGTGTAAGTGTGGTTCATAGGGTTTTCAATGCTGTGATCTTTACAAAGTAGGTCACCAGGACTTTCTTCCAAGGCCTGCATCTAAGTGGATTTGAACATCTAACTTCCCATTAACAGGCAAGGATAGTAACCATCTGTTGTTGTTATTGATTGCCGTCTAGTCGAGCATGACTCATAGCAACTCTATGAAAAAAAGGCCTGAAGCCTTTCTATAATTATCATCATTTATCAAAGTTCACAGAGTTTCCAGAGGCATGTTATATAGGAAGTGGATGTCACTCCTGCTTCCAAATCTGTCTTAAACTGGGAGCTCCACCAAACATTGTCCACCATGGGTAACTGTTATGGCATTTGACACCCCAATGGCACAAGATTCAGCATCACAGCAAACCCAGATTATCTCAGTGCAGCATATTGACAGATGAGTGCTGTACCTCTTAAGAAGAATGTTCTTCCAAAATATAATAACAACTGACTTTTAAATACAAAGGCCCTCCCCAAGGTCTTGTTGGCTCTAAACAAGAGGCTTAAATAAAAAATAACCAGTGTAGTGTATTTTTGCTGTTATGTGCCATTGAGTTGCCTGTATAGCAACCCTATGTACAGCAGCTCTGAACCCTTCCCTGTCCTGAGCCAGTCTCACTAATTCTGACACACTAACCCCCATTGCCCCAGCCACTGTATCAGTCCATCTCATCTGGGGTCTTTCTCTCTTGTGCTGTCCCTCCACCCCTCTGAGCATGATGTCCTTCTCCAAGGATCAGTCTCTCCTGGCCAAGTACCCAAAGTATGTGAGATGGAGCTCCAAAATCCTAGCGTCCAAGGTCCAGAAATTGGTCAAGATCACTTCTTGTTAGGTGCCATGAAGTTGGCTCCTGCTTGTAGTGACCCCAGATAGAGCGGAATGAAACCTGGCCAGTCCTCTGCCATCCATTCAGTTGCTGCTATGCTGGAGCCCGCTGTCGCACTCATTGTGTCAGTCTGTCTCACTGAGCATCTTCCGCTTTTGTGCTGACCTTTACCAAGCATGATATCCTTTCTGAGGGGCTGGTCTCCTGACAACATGCCCAAAACACGTGAGATAAAGTCTATCTGTCCTCACTTCCGTGGTGTATTTCATTTCTTCACTAGCACCATAATTCAAAGACATCCATTTTTTGCAGAGAATTTGCCCAATGCAATATGCAATTTTATTTCTTGTCGACCCTGGGCCTTGATTGACAGCCTAAGTCAAATGAAATATCTTTGTTAACTTCAATATTTTCTTAATTTAACATTATGTTTTTAATTGCCCAATTGTAAAGATTTTTGTTTTCTTTATGTTGAGGTTAATCCATACTGAAGGAATTACATATTTTTGAGATTAATCAATAAATGCTTCAGCAGCAGGGCTGTGTCCTCTGCACAGAGAAGGTTGTTAGTTCTCTAATCTTGATGCCATGTTTTCCTTCAAACAGTCCAGCTTCTTAGATTATTTGCCCAGCAAACAGATTGAGTAAGTGTGGTGAAGGAATACCACTCTAGGGCATGCCTCTCCTGATTTTAAACTGTATGGTGTTGTTATTGTTAGGTGATGTCAAGTCAAATACAACTCAAAGAACAGCCAACCTGAACCCTACCCGACTGTGCCATTCACACCATGTCTGGAACACTCAGATCCATTACTGAAGTCACCATGTCAGTTCATCTCATTAGGGGTTTACTTCTTCTTTACTGACCCTCCCCCTTTCCAGGCATGATGTCCCTCTCCAATGAGTAGCCTCACCTAGCTTCTTGTTGTTAGGTGCCGTCGAGTTGAGTATGACCCATAGCGAGCCTATGAACCACAAATCTGAACCCTGTTCTATCCTGTGCCATCCTCACACTTCCCGACACCTCTGTGAGCCCATTGTGGCAGCTCTCCTTTGCTGACCCTCTACTTTTCTGACCATCATGTTCCTTTCCAAAGAATAGCCTTTGGTAGCAACATGCTTAGCTGTTTTTCAATGATCTTTAGCAGTATTCTGCTTGCATGTGATATCAGTGATATTGGGATTTGGATGCAGAAGGGGGCAATTGCTGTGTGACCTTATCTAAAGCACGTTCCCTTCCCCCTCTCTAGGAGCTTCTCCATTGATAACATGTGATGATAAAATGTGACTGGATGGAGGCTTGGCAGGTGGGAACTCCCCATCTCCCGCCATTCATTCCTCCACACTTCTCTCCTCCCTCCCACCCCTGCTGTCCCTGTGTAGGCTTCCCCTCACCTCTCTTGGGAAAGTCTATTGGCTTCAAGCCTTTTCGCATCAGCTGGTGGGGCCCTGGCTGCTTTCTTCCCGCCTCCCTAAACAGCATTCTCAAAAGTGTCCCTGTTTTACTATCATGATTTTCAGCATGCACTGAGCGACTGGCCAACTACTTTATCAGTTGTTAACAAGCCTGTTAGCAGAACTTGGTAGCTGTAAGTTCTTAAGCTAAGTGCTTGACCTCTCTTGCTGAAGCTTTATCAGTTGTGATATGGGATGAAAATGGCAGTACCTACTTCGTAAGGTCAGTTTGAGAACTTAACAAAAAAACAAACCAACAAATATCTGTTGCTGATGTTGTTACTTGTGTTGAGTCAGCTCCCAAATCACGTGAACTTGTGTCTGTGTTGCAGCCTCCACAATTGTTAAGTCTGCTGAGGCTGCTGTGTATTCTTTTGAATGCCACGCAACCTAGGAGCTCATCTTC